TGTGCCCAGCCCGGGGCTGAGCGCTGCGGAGGCTCCGCTCTGCAGACACACGGAGGCAAAGCTCCGTGCGCTGCCCCGAGCCGGCAGTGCCGTGGTGCTATGCGCGGGGCTCGCGGCGGCGCCGTGTTGAGGAAAGAAGGGAGTTGTGTCTGTCTGACACACGGAACAGCCACAGCACAGGCTGCAGTGTTTTCCCTCGGGGATTTCGCAGGTCTGTGGCTGTTGCTGCAGTTCTGCATGTATGTGGCTTTGCTGCTTCACGCTCCAGGAGACACAGCTCTTGTTCTGATTTCACACTCACCTTTACCCGTAAATAATGAATAAGCATATTGGAATTTCTTATCAAAACTGCATCAGCATCGTGTTTTTACACCCTTCTATGACATGATGGTAATACCTTCTTTCCCACTTGTGTGATCACTTCAGCTGATATTCTGTTACATTCTATGTAGAGAATTTATTGGCTTTGAAAGTGTATAATGTTACTTGTTATAATCTTACAAACACTGTGGCTAGCCAAAATCTTGCAGTTAGTTAAGTGTGGAAAGAAATGTATAATAAATTATCTTATTGTTAGGATGCTTCCAGTTCAGACAGTTAAATAAATTGTTTCAACCATAAAGAAACCGTATGTAGTTTTCCAGATCTTTTGAGTCACTTTTTACTGGTGGAAGGAGTGTGGCGTTTTTTGTGTGTCAGTGAAGTGGCAAGATCTGTATGTCTCCTCTTTATCTCCAAGTTCTTCTTTAGATATATCATGGTATGTGAAGGGGCCCCCAACATGAGAAGGATGTGGAACTGTTGGAGAGGGTCCAGAGGAGGCCACAAAGATGCTCTGAGGGCTGGAGCACCTCTGCCATGGAGTCAGGCTGGGAGAGCTGGGGCTCTTCAGCCTGGAGAAGAGAAGGATCCAGGGAGACTTTAGAGATGCTTCCTGTATCTAAAGGGGCTCCAAGAGAGCTGGAGAGAGGGACTTTGGACAGGGGCCTGGAGTGACAGGACAAGGGAGAATGGCTTCATACTGCCATCAGGGTTAGATGGGATATTGGGAAGAAAGTCTACCCTGTGAGGGTGGTGAGGCACTGGCACAGGTTGCCCAGAGAAGCTGTGGAAGGTGTCCCTGCCCATGGCAGGGGTTTGGAATGAGATGAGCTTTAAGATCCTTCCAGCCATTCTGTGATTCTATGGTTGTAGCTAAGTACTTACAGATACCATATTTAGTTATGAAAATGTAACATACAGTTTTTGAGAGAAGGAAACATCCACTGCACTCAGAATCTGTTTTGACACTCCTGGTGATAGTGTGCTGTGCCTCGTGCAAACATGCACTGGAAACAGGACGTGACTGCTGTATTTTTCTCTTGCAGGTTTGCAGGAACCTTATGACAATAAATAAGAATAGAAAAATGACATTGAGGAAAGGTGTGTGTGTGTGTCTGATTCTTAAAAAAATATCTTTTGTATCTGAGTTTCTCAGTCTTTCTCTTGTTATAAACTTTATTCTTCTAAATTTTCAGTGAACATTTCCATCCTTATTGTGGCTGTCGTCATATTTTTGCTAGTTCTTCACCATAATTTCCTAAGCCTCAGTGATTTCTTGAAAAGGGAACTGTCAGGTATGTTGGGGTTTATTTTACTGAAAAAACATGTTTCTTCTAAGATGTGTGTGAAAGCACCCAGACAGAGCCCACCACATGGTTAGGGCCTATGGGAGGGGGAAGTCAGTGAGGTTATAGACATGGCAGATGAGCCCAAAGGTAAGTGCAGCCTACCATAGCTCAGTCTCATTTCAGTACCTGGTTGTGCTGTGTGTGAATATGTGCAGCTAAATGTGTGTAGCTTTTTGCAAGTGTGACATTTTCCTATTCAGCAGCATCTCAGATTCTTTAAAGCAGGTGCTTTTTTTTGTGTGTTTGATACTGTCACACTGTAATCCACAGCTCAGCTGAGACAGCCAAGTGCTTGCATGGGAGAGGTGATTGAAGGTGTTGGGAATTTTAGTGTGGTAATAATAATACATAACAATAAAAACAAATATGTGGTGCCATTTGTACTCCACAGATTCAAATCCATTAGGACTCCAGCCTATAGATTTCATTCCTGCAGCTCCCCAGAGGCTGACAGATGAGAGGAATGACAAGGAGATTCCTGTGGTCATTGCAGCATCAGATGAGAGGCTTGGGGGTGCAATTGCAGCCATGAACAGTATTTACCATCACACCAGATCCAATGTGGTTTTCCATATTGTTACTTTGAATGATACTGTGCATCACTTGAGGTAATTATCTTTTCATTGGATTCTCACAACACTGTAAACTTCAGTATCTCTGAGAAGAGAGTGAGCTGCCTCTCCCTGGAGCTGCACTCTTCCAACTTGCAGTCCTGTCTGCTGCTGCTTCTGGTGGGAGACTTCAGCCTTTCCTTCTGCCAAAGTTTCAGGAACGGAAAAGAGCCAGTGGGGTTATAATCCAACCAGTGGCATTGGAGTTCATTGATGGAGGCATTATAGAAGTTACTTTTTCACTTTATTGGGGAATTCAAGTGCTGGTAATGAGGTTTCTCCATTCTTCTAGGTTGTTTATTTTCACCCCCTCTGTTCACACTGATGTTTTTGTGAAGGATCTGAGATAACAGGGCTAATACAATGAGAAGCAGCCTCACACCTTTCCCATGTCCCAGGTGTGCAGTGTGCTGATGTGCACCTGCCCCTGTGGCGCACAGGACATCATCCACATCAGCCATGGATCACATCCCATAGGGTTGTTTCTGGCCGCGTGAAGATCTGTGTCACTGTCAATCAGATCTCTTGCTTTTCGTTTGGTTTTGTCTCATTAACGAGATCTGTGCCTTTCTGTTTGCAGGCTGTGGCTCTCCAGTCCTGCTCTGAAACATCTGAGATACCAAATTCTGGAATTTGATCCTCATGTCTTAAAAGGGAAAGTCCAAGTGGATCCCCAAAAGGCAGACACCTTCAAACCAGTGAGGACGCTGTTGATTACTTTTTGCAGTTATTTGTTAGTAACAATATATTTTCATGTTGGCTTTTGAACACACCACATCTCTTATCATAGCAGCAATCTTTTATAATCAAATTCCTAATATCAGGAAAATAAATTTCCAGATAGTGAGAGATGAATATCTACATGTGCAACCCTAGTATCATTTGTTGCTGCTAGCTGCAGTGAAACAGCAGCTGGCATGTCAAGCAATGCTAGCACCACAGAGATACTACAGATACATGTGGAGAAACAAGAAATTCTAATAGAGACCAATTTTAAAGTTAGTCTATCAATGCACAGTGTCAGAGGAAACCAGGAGTTGATGGCACCTCTTTGTTTTTAATTACTTGCAGGATATTGCTGGCTATTTTGCTTCCTTGATAGAAGTTGTCTTGGACATTAATGCCATAGATAAGTGCCAGAAGGATCAAACAATTTCACATTTATTTGGACTGTCTTCCATTTAATTCTTCAATTCTCTTGCTTTCTTGTTTTCACAGTTAACCTTTGCAAGATTCTACTTGCCCAGCTTGGTACCTCATGCAGAGAAGGTCATCTATGTGGATGATGATGTAATAGTGCAAGGTATGGGACCTTTGTTAGTCCCACACTTAGTGTTGTACCACTGGCCTTAAGCTGAGGTCAGTATTCTGTCTCTTACAGACACCAAACACTTCAAGGAAAGATTTGTAAATACAAATGTGCCGGGTTAAACTGAGAGGTTTTATTTGCTGTAGCATGGACAGACCAAAGTGTAACTCAGTGTTCAGTCAGGATTGCTTTCAATTTTTCTGTGCTTGCTTCCATTTTCCAGATGATATTCATGAACTTTACAACACTCCATTGAAACCTGGACATGCAGCTGCATTTTCAGATGACTGTGACTCAACCACTAATAAAGTAGCTGTCCGTGGAGCAGGCAATCAGGTGAGTTGGGTTCCAGTTCAGTGGTAACAATGCCATAGCTCTCAGGTTTTAGAAACAAGCACTCAGTTTTACTGTTCCAGTTGCTGTGAGCCTAAAGGTGTGACTGTCCCTACCCAAACCCATTTTACACTGTTTGTGTTACAAATGGCACCTGCAGTTTCTGTTTAGGCACAGTAAAAGCACTTTTTGTTTTGTTTTGCTGTGCTTTACAGTGAGAGCAGTTCCCAGTGTGAGACAGATGTTAGAACATCAGAGGGAAAATTTGTAATTGTGAGTGTATAAAAAGTACTTTTTCCAGGAGTGGTACCATATTAATCATAATGGTATAATTAAAACCATGAAGCATTCCTGAAAATATATAGTCTAATTAATCACATTTTTTTTTAATGTTACACTTCTTATGCTTTCTTTCTCTCTTTGTGAAGGGATATTTACTGTAACAACTTCAAGTTACAACTGTCTGTTGTGAGCTGTGCAAAATTTTTCTTTAAATAGTAATTTCACCATATTTTAAGCTATTTTCTACTCTCTTTTTTTTCCCCAGTATAATTACATTGGGTTTCTAGATTACAAAAAAGAAACCATCCGGAAGCTTGCCATGAAAGCCAACACCTGCTCCTTCAATCCAGGGGTTTTCGTTGCCAATTTGACCGAGTGGAAATCACAGAACATCACTAAGCAGTTGGAGAAGTGGATGGCACTGAATGTAGTGTAAGCACCCCCAGGCTGGGGCCACAGCAGGTCCTTTAACTGTTGTTTTTGACTGTTGTTAACTGTTGTTAGCTGTCAACATTTGACTGTTGAAGGAAGGGCTGTGTGTGTATCTGTGGGTTCCTGTCATGCCTCTGCAAGTGAAAAATAGCTGACTTAGGGCCACACCAGCATCCTTTCCCAATTTCTTTTCACCTTTTCCAGAGAGGAACTTTACAGTAAGACTCTGGCTGGCAGCATCACAACACCTCCACTGCTCATTGTATTTTACAAGCAACATTCCAGCATTGATCCCATGTGGAACGTCCGACATCTCGGTACGTATGGAAGGTCTGTGATGCTGCTCCCCCAGTGTAGATTTCCAGGTCTGTAGCTGGACTCCTAGTTGATGGTGCAGCAAGTGGATCTTTTCTTCTCCTATGCTATACCTTGTTCTTTAAGAAACAGCCTTGCAATACCATCTCGGGGCTCGTGGGCCTTGAGCCTTCACAGTCATGCCAGGGGATAGTCTTGGATGGGCTCACTCACAAAATAATCCTTGTTTTCCACATATATATTGTATCAGAAGCGATCCAAGGTGTTTCTTCCACAGACTGTTGAGTCCATGTCTGTTCTGCTACTGATGAAACCCCAGTGCTGTTTCTGGTGAACAATATCTGAATACATCTGGGTGTTAAGGTTTTAAACAACTTGGAAGTTAAGACAGTTCAACATGGCATTCTGATTGTTTTTCACTTTGCCCTTATTTCTGCCTCCCATTCTCCATAAATGATAAGACTTGCTTTGTTAAATTCTTTGTTTCGACGTTAAAATGTTGCACGTTGGTGTTTCTGCTGCCTTTATTTCAGGCACTAATGCTTCCTTTTCCATAAAAGGGTCTAGTGCTGGAAAGAGGTACTCTCCTCAGTTTGTGAAAGCTGCCAAGCTGCTCCATTGGAATGGACATTTCAAACCCTGGGGAAGAACAGCTTCGTATGCTGAAGTCTGGGAGCAGTGGTACATCCCTGACCCTACAGGCAAGTTCAGTCTTGTCCGCAGACGTTCCGAAGCCCACGAAGCAGAGTAGAGCAAATTTTCATAACTGATGGCATTTTCTCAGGAAACTTCTGGAGCAGAACTGGGTTTTTTAGCTAACTTGTATTACAGAGCCAACCTTGCCTTCTGGAGCACAAGGTGATGCACTTACTCAGGTGCAGTTCTGAGATGCACAGGTCCAAAGGAAGCTCCTGTCACCAGTGTGGCACGAGGTGCTAGCAGCAGCACTACAGAAAGCAAGGGAGGATCTCCACACACAGGCACTTTTGTTTAGTTCATTTTTGTCCTGTTCTTCTGCTCTTCACTGCAGGACTTCTAGCAGAGGATCATTTGTCAGTTACAGAAACAAAGTTTCTAAGAACAAGATACAAATTTAGTTGGTGCTTGCACCATGCAAATCTTGCACAGCAATGTACTGTAATTAAGAGCTGTTTAGGTTGTGTTCTGGGTTTAATTTCTGTTGTTTTGTTATCCTGTGAAATAGGTCCCACAACAACCCTTTCTTGCATGAAATCTCCTCCCAACCATTTCTTTAAGTCTTTCTTGCAGAATTCTGCAAAATTGAATCTGGTTTTTTTTTGAAAAATGAATTCTTCCAAGTATTATTTCACTATGCAAAGTGGTTTCAACTGCCAGAGAACACTCAAACATTTTTTGTACAGTGGCGGACAAAACTTTGTTCAAAAATAAAGCTAATTTTAACACGTTGCCTCAAGTAAATAGCAATCTGATTCCAGTTGTTGATCTATCAAGTGTTTCCTTTATACTTAAACACAGTAGCAAGTGACTGAAGCCAAAGTCAGTTGATCTCATCTTTGTGACAGCAACCCAATTCTAAAATAGTGCAAAGTGTTTATTTGGGGGATCAGACTGTAAGATTAATTTTGCTGAGCTCCTTATAGTCATCTCAAGTGAGCCTGGCTCTGCTGTAGTTTTTCCTACTGTGCCTTTCCCAGTGTGACTCTAAACTCACAAGTGGAATGCTCATGCCCTCTGCAGCCTGCTGCCCATCACCACCTGTGCTCTAAGTTGTTTGGTGTAGTTTTTTAAATTTGTACTGTTCTCTTTGAGTAGTGGTTATTATCAGCTGATACATCCCAGCAGCTATGGAGCCAACTATCCCATTTAACAGAGGTTTGCACTCAAGTTGTGACACTGCTGGTGAACAGTTCTCAGTGTAAGATGTTCAGACAAAAGGCTTTGTGTTCATGCAGCGACACCTGTGTGCTGCATGGTCTGACATAGAGGGAAAGGGCTTGTTCATGACTAGGAATGTGGTTTCAGTACAGCTTTATCAGTAAAAGGATTTCAAATTGTGTCTCACTGCAGTCGCTGCCTATAGCTATTTCCAATCTGGTTTGTTACCTATTCTTTCTTTTCCTGGGTTTTGATGAACTATTCTTGTCCTTGAAGCAGTAAGTTCACTTACCAAACTGAAACTGTACTGGATCAGCTGACACCAACATAATTTTGATGAGCAGGCTGTGTTTTACCAGGTTTAAAGAAACTCCATGTTTGTGCCTGCACCTGTAGACCTTTCTAAGCAGCCTACAAGGACTATAGGGAAAATACAACTGTTAAAGGACACAGACATTCAAATGAATGTGAAGAAAATATGCACAGGAGGAAGATACTTGGTGTCTAAATTACTCTAAATGCTTAATTCTCTGAGCAGCTGCAGGGCCTCATGGCAACTCTCTTGCTCTCCCAGTTCAGCTACAGGCTGAGTGCAGTAACACATCCTTATTACACAGGACACTGCACCAGTTATTGCCATCATCAGGAAATAACTCTAGTTCAAGAGTACTGTATGAACAAGCAGCTTGTTCCCCACTAAAGAAAGATTACTAATACTACAATCTCAGTTACCTTTCCCAGTTGAAGGTTCTGAATATCAAGCAATGCTTAGATAAGGTACCTTTTGTCTAGCTGAAGTAAGTACAAATTTCCAGCCAACCTTTACATGAAAAAGTTCTGCAAGCTGGGCAAAAATATAATGAAAAGTTACTGGCTGAAATCATGTGCTAGGAGTACAGTCTCTGTAGTCCTCTAGAAAAAATTCAATTTTATACAGGAATGAAAACTTACCTTGAAATTTAGTTGCCTGAATGGGGCTAGAACAAAACATTTACCAGTTTTTCCAAAACAAAAGACAAAGGGTTTATCTTTTGAAACAACTTTTTATATAAGGCAAAACAGACTCAGTCTAGTAGGAATTTTTTTAAATAGGCTTTAATGCAGGAACTAAAGTCCGCAGGACACAGCCAGTTTCCTAGATTTGTATAAAATCTGAAAAATCAAGGGAGACACACTATTATATACATTATTTAACAGAGCAATAATTGTGAGTCAGCTACTCTGGTGTGCAGCATTCCTCTGGCTTCTGCTGCAACAAGTCTTCATGACTGTTCTGAAAGCCAGTAGTGAGAGCCTCCAAACAGTGCCTTCACACCCAATTCATTACACATAGTCTGTATTGAAATCGTAGGCATCATCTTCATCTGGGGATTTATCTAAGCTGAACGACGGGGGATTTGAAGATTCACTTTCTGAGAGGAGAAAATCATGTGTTAGTGAAACCAATGCAAGTGCTGGAGCCCTAGAGAACATTCTTCAAGCCAGGGATTTTAATACAGACCTGTCTTCTGCTCCTCTGAATTTGTAGGATTTGTTCCTTGTTTTCTAAGCTCTGCTTTCCTGGTGACCTGAACTTTGCTTTCCTGCAAGTAAGAGAGGTCAGACGTATTACTCAAACATCAATAAAATCTCCCATGCAAATGAAACCTAACAGAGACTGATGACAGTGTGGATGTCCCCTTGTATAGCTGGTTAGGAACACACTGCTAAGGCAACTAACTTGGAACAATGCTGTTTCCTTAATTAAGAAGGAAAGCCCAACCCTTGTCTCCAGGAGAAAGGCTTTTTATTACACCTGGTGGCTCCACAGGGTCTCCACATCCTCAGTTCACAGCAGGATACTGACTGAGTACTTGGTGTCAGGATCTAAACAGGAAGAAACATAGTGAAACCCTCATTTACCTCTTCGACATTTTCTTCTTCCATGTCATCTTGGACATCATCACTTTCTGTGAATTCCTCCTCCTCTTCTTCCTCCTCCTCCTCCCCCTTGCTTGTTTCCATGTTTTCCCACTCTGATTCATCCTCTATCACGTTACTTTCCTCTATTGTCCCATTTGCCATACCAGCTGACTGAAAAATAATGCTGCTTGCTGGACTGGGGCATTTTAAACCTGGGAAAAAAAACCCACGATGTCTGTTAAGTCACTGTCAGACAGCACCAGATGTAATGCCACCACTGAGAGAACAGCCATTTCATCCCTGCCCCTCCCTGCCACACAGCACTCCCACAAACAGGCAGAACAAAGGACAGTTCTCTGGGAACAGCTTTCCTGAGGCATCTACAGAAGACTGCCAGGATCTGAACAACTTGGATTTGAGTATAGATTGTAAATTTACCTAAGTAGGTTTAAATTAGATATTAGGAAGAAATTCTTCCCCATGATGGTGGTGAGACACTGGCACAGGTTCCCAGAGAAGCTATGGCTACTCCAGCCCTGGAAATGTTCAAGACCAGGTTGGATGGGGCTTGGAGCAACCTGGGCTAGTGGAAGGTGTTCCCGTTCATGGTAGGAGGTGGAATGAGAAGACCTTTAAGATCCCACCCAAAACATCTATGATTAATGGTAGTGTATTAGTGACAGTCCTACCTTGAAGAATGTTTCTGGTTTCTTGTTCTAGGTTATCTAAATTAAAGCCCTCCTGCATTTCAGCTATTTTTTGTTCTGTAAGATATGGTGGTGGTCCCTGAGATTCTGGAGGTTCTGAATGGTAGCTTATTTTGCCTCTGGAAAAATAAAATATCAGCTTTAGAAAACAACCAAAGACCACATAGTTAAACCACTGTACTTAAAAATAAACCCCAGAGCACAAAGCTTTCAAACTTCTCAACCTAACTACTCACGTGCTGTTTAACAGCAGTCCCTTAGTTATTTAAATTTGACTCTGAAGTATTAAGTGGATCACCCACTCCTGAGGGGAAAAAAACGGCATAATTTGTCACCACAAATCACCTGCCTGTAAAACCATGAGCTGCATAAGCAGCTGAACCACTTGAGCAAAGGAAATAGTCACAGTCAGTTACTGATTCTGAGTTACATTTATATCCACTCTCAGAATACAGGAACCAACACACATTTGCACAGAAAATCTGCCATACCCTTTCCTGTAGGAGAGGACTACATGGAGTCTGTATTTGAAGGAAGAAAAATTGCCCTAACAGTTACAGCACAAGTCATCAAACTGCCTATGGAGTAATGTGCAACAGGCTTTGATGCTTCTCACATATCCTTCACTACTTTAGAAGATTATCCTTGGACAGCATTCTCTAAGTGTGTTGGCAAACCAGCTCTTTGCCAAAGTTCAGTGTGAGAAAGTAAGGGAAAAAACCAGCCTCTCCTCTCTAAGCACTTTGCAGGACTCAGAGCTTCTGCTGTGCTGACTAACTGTGAGCAGCACAGCACACAGTTCACTCATACATACCCTGTCCAGTCACACAGCACTAGTTTGGCTACGTTTTCTATATCAGGAAGTCCTCCCTTTTTCAGCATACCCCTCTTCCTTGCAAGCAAAGATAAAAACTCTTCAGGGCTCCTGAAATCTGGGATATTATAGTGCATTATTACCTAGGGCAAAAGAAAATGGCACATTCAGAAAGAGATACCTACTTTTCTCTTAGTTTTAGGAATAAATGAGCAAATCAAATTGAATTACAATGAGGACAAATGAGTATGTGAAGAGCTGTTTTTCTCTTGCATGTGGGAGTAAACATTACACAGCAAAATGCCTACTTCACCAAGAAACTCATCTGCCATTCTCCCAGACTAGTGGGTGTATGGAGACAGCACACTGGTCTGTGAAAACTGTTATCACAGACCTGGGTGGGAATTAGGCATAGGTTAATCTGCATGAAACTAGAGTGAAATCAGAGTTGGATCTGAGGTCTTCACTGTAAAAATAGGACACAACTGAAATATCATCATTTTTCACTCTGTGATACTGTGATGAGATCTTAAAAGCAGGTTTGTTTTCAAAACTAGAAGAGTTATTGGTGTTTAAAACAGACTCAGGCTGACAGGAGCATGGCATGCTGTTACTACCTTCTACTTACAAGGATGAAGGATCACACTTGGTGATCCCTCTGCATGCTTAGGGGAAAACACTGCAAACACTATCAGAATTAGCTGAAGGGAAAGGAACTTAAATTATTGGCCTGAAAAACCTACAAAAGTCAAATGCAGTGAGAGATGTGGAAAAAGATGGAGCTCACCTGCTGCTTACTGCAGTGATTTATAATGGCATTTACTCCTTCAAGCACATCTGCTGAGTCTGACTGCTCAGTGTCTATGATCCTCCTCAAGGCCAGAGTCAGACCACTGTTGGAAGGATCTGCAATTATACCTGGACTGTCCAACATCTTTGTCTGCTTACCAATGTGCACAATTTGCATGGACCTGTTCAGAGAGAAATGCACTGTGAGTAGATAATCAGTGAAGGACTTGTAATGGTGAGGGATGCAATACACAAAGCTCAGTGTTGGATTGAATGTACTTCATACAGAGTCAGTTTCAGTGTTTTGTCATCATGTGCTTTGTGTAGGACAGAAATATAAATGTACAAGAGGAGCAAGTTTGCACACTGTATCCTCTGGTGACAGTTTGTATCACAGATCAGTATCCTTAATCTTGCAAACTGAAATGTGCATGTAAAACTTGCACAGGGTGTGCTTTGCCCCTACTGGAAGGAAACAAACTCGAACAACAACAAACAGGGAAAGGAACAGCTTTATCAGTCTCAGCTTACTTGGTAACACCTCTTGTTAGGCCAACATTGCAAGCACGTGCTCCTTTGAGACTGTTGATTATGCTGCTCTTTCCCACATTAGGGAAACCTGAAGAAAAATGAGAGAAATCCTTGTAAGTTAAATAAGAAAACTCAGCCTTTATAACACTAATCAGAAATGCTTGTTTCAAGCGTATTTGCTAAGGTACATGATCAGTGTGAGATCAGAGTTGGATCTGAAGTCTTCACTGTAGAAGTAAGACAAAGTTTGTTTCCTCATTTCTCACACTGGTAAGATCTGTGGTGCTACATTCAGCATTTTTATTATGAGGCAGGAGGAAGGCAGTGCAAGTGAAGCACATAATCTGCTTCTCCTGTGCTTCCACAGATCACATAGGCTACAAGCAGCTAAGTGCTCCATGTATCACTGTCAACTGAAGTATTGCAACAGTGACAGCCTTAGGTGAAAGTAAAGAACAATGACTAGAAAGCCCATTAGTAAACCATGTGTTAGCAGTTTTGCCCAATTCCTAACATGGGATACCAAAGCTTCATGGGAGAAGAAGGAAACTCCTCCTCTCTCTCCAAGCACTTACCTACTACCCCAACCTGAATGGCTTTGTTTTGAGTCTTGCCATACTCTTGGAGAAGTGTCAAAAGGCATTTGCTTCCCAGACATTGAGAGGGTTTTGACAAATCAGCAACATGTCTACGTTTTTTTGTGACCTGTTCCTGCTACAGGATTCAAAGGCAAATAAAAACATGGTCAGGAGCTATTTAGGAATATAGATATGTATCCTTATATTTATTTATCTACTGTGACGACTTCAATGGCAAGAATTCCCCCACTGTGCTGCAAAGCTCAGTCAAAGTGTAAAGGCATATCCATCAGTCATAGCAATGTAATCAAACAAAGGGAAAAGGAATTTTAAAGAGCAAAGAGTTCCTGTTCCTCAATATGCTTCAACATGTATGACTGCAAACACACATGACTGAGTCATGAGACAGCCTGCAGTGCTCTTACCACGGTCTTGTCCTTCATCAGTGTTGCTGATTTAAAAGCCACTGTTGGAAACTCCTTCTTCAAATAATTCAACCATTTCTCCAAGTTGGCCCTTGGCACTAAATCTGGATAAAAAAAGAGTTCTCTCACTCCAGTGAATCTTAAATGCCACTGTGTGCAGGAAATCTAATGTGGAATCAGAAACCAGGCTGCATTTTGTATATTTAGGATGTTACTTTATGACAAACATCTGGCTCAAGTATTGGGTATTGGTGCACAGTGTTGCAGTTTCTTTTTTTTTCCAGCCTTAAGCAGAACACATCACAATCACATTTTTGGCCCCTGCATTAGACTATTAATTGCTGGGGTCTTGCTAGAAGACTTTGTATGGTACAGAGTGATGTTCTGTGAAGGATTACCCCACCATCCCTGCAAAGGCCACTCTAACACAAAGTTCCCTTTGCTCTTGGTACTTTATTTTCTTTCTTTAGTTGCTGGTAACTCAGTAATTTCCAGCCGTTTTATTGAGCTCAGAGTTGGATCTTATGTCTTCAATGGAATCTCAGATTCCTTTAAAATCTTCTTCATAGCTCACCTACCAAAGAACCACACAGTCACCAAGGAACACTTCAAGCAAACTTTGCCTCTTACCAATTTTGTTCAGGACCAACAGTAGCTTTTTGTTCCCAGAGCAAGTGACAGCTTGCTCCAGCTGAGGACATCGGCAGCCCATTGGGTCTCTTGCATCCAAAACCTCCAGAACCACATCTGAGGCCTCAAGCACCTGATAACAAAAAGGAGAGAAGATTCTCAAATAAGACATCACAGACCACTGGACAGATGACAACTCTGGAATAGCTGCAGCTTACAGAAGTTACTGTTGAATTTCTCAGAGTGATCGGTGAGGATTCACACAACTGTGTCTGAGCTCCTTTCTTCTGAACTACAAACCAGAAAGCTGAAGCAATTTTCATCTTTTTCCTCCAAAGGCAAGAACAGACACCAGTACCTCATTACTCAGGAGCAATTTGATCACTCTGTACTGACACTGGCCCGAGATGTCTAATGCCTCAAAGTCCTCAGTGTCTCAGTACAAGACAAGACTGAAACCCTCACAGTCTCTGTCATGAAAGGCAACCTTTATGTTCTCGACCAGCTGCACAGTAAGGTAAGAAAATGAAATAGCAAGTGCTCTCATGCTGACTCTCATCAAATTATATAAAAACAGTTGAAGCATTTCACCTTCTTGAGCTCCCTGCAGAATGATTGCTTTGAGTTTTTATTCAGCAGTTTGTTAGTCTTCCGTTTAGCTTTGCCAGAGGATTCCTGAATGCAAATAAAACCAAAAGGGAATGAGAATTAGTGTGTAATGTGTGCATATACAGCAATGAAAACACAACATGTAACATAGGGCTTAGGAAGGTGTAGTTCCAGGACCATTTCTATGAGCTCAGAGAATCAAAGTCTACCAGACACATACCTTCCCCTTGATTTCGGCTGCCTTCCTTCTAGCTTCCTGCTTCCTCTTCTTTTCATGTTCTTTCTGTCTGTTGAGCTTCTGCTTTTGCTTCAGTTCTTCAAGCTGATGGCAAACAAAACCCAAGCCAGATAAAACATATTCGAAGGTGGTGTCAAAGACTGTTTATTCTCCCCATTTCCTATTTCTGACTCTAGCTCCTGAGACAACTCAGTCAGAATTCCTGGCTGTCCAAGTGACACTGGGAACTTGTTTGGCTTCCTACCCTGACACAAATACTGTTGCCTTCAACTGCCTCAAAGCCAGAGGTGAATATCCACTAACTAGACCCCAAAACAACAGCTGTGCAGTAACCACTACAACTGGTAAGGATGCTGCCCTCATGTCACATTACTGCATGATGCAGACAGCAGATCCTTATCTTCTGTACAATTGTGGAATGCCCAGATTGAACTTTCAGCACTCTGATGGGACATTTATGCATCTTAGCATCAAAAGCAATTTGGATTACAGTGGAAATGATGTTTCCAGCATACAGTGAGGAAATGAGGGTTAGAAATAAAAGAGCAAATTGTTGCACAGTGTACAGTGCTAGAAATAAAGGTATTGTTTTTCCAAAGTATGTGTCTACTAGAGACATCTACAATCTACCACGATTGCACCTCTGGGTGCACACACACACACACACACACACACAAGACTTCCTTGAAGACATCAATGGTCCCAGTTCTTGTCCTCTTTACCACAAACTGTATTTTACCCTCTGCTTCCTTTGCTCTGCTTCCCGGAGAAGCTCTTCCTTAAACGGTGCAGCACTGGGAACTCCAGGATCCCTCTTGGGCTTTTTGCGTCCACGTTTCTTGGCCTCTTTCCTGACCTTTCGGTGGTGCTCTCTGACCTGGACACAGGAACAGGTAAACTTTCTCAGTCTAAACCAAAAACAACCAAGAGGGACACATCTCTCCTGTTTACAGAGTAAAAACCAGCACATTTCTGACCAGTCTGACGTGGTTTGATTGTATAATGTGTCAGCACAAAGCTACACTTGAACAAACCAGACCAAAACAATGCAGAATGTAATCTGAGAAACCTCTTTTCTACACTGGAAAGCAAATTCCTCAGTAGAGTCCAGACTCCTTAACATGCAATACAACATCCTTACTGTGTACATGCACACCTACAAGTGCCTGTAATAATATATGGTGGCTGGCTGGCCTTGATGATCCCTTCCAACATCCTGAAGGTCTCTCCCAACATCGATTCTATGATTCTATGATATACATATATGTATATATGTATGTATGCAACTAGCAGTAGGGCAAGAGGGCACGGACTCAAGCTCTGCCAGGGGAGGTTTCGGTTGGATATTAGAAAGAGATTTTTTACAGAGAGAGTGATCAGGCATTGGAATGTGCTGCCCAGGAAGGTGGTGGATTCACCATCCCTGGAGGTTTTCAAGACAAGACTGGATGTGGCACTTAGTGCCATGGTCTAGTAACCACAGTAGGGTTGGACTCGATGATCTTTAAGGTCTCTTCCAACCCGGCTGATTCTATAATATATGTACACACATATACCTCATATATATACGACATACATAATATCATATTCTATGATATACAACATGTTTTCGCCGAGTGGTGCCTTAACTAGAACCAGACCCCCCCTGTTCCCCCGGGGCAGGGCCCACGCACCACGCGGGACTCACCTTCTTCTGGATCTTGTAGCGCTTGTGGCAGCTCAGCCTCTTGCTGGCCTTCCGCAGCTCTGGAACGCACCGATCAGC